TGAGCCACTGTGCCCGGCCAACTTAAACTTTAATCTCACCAAAACTGCATGTGTATCTGTTCCATTTGTTCTGTCATAAAACTTTTCATCCACTCCCTCAATCAGTGATTTTTTCATTCAAATAACATGTTCAGTGTACAAACGATGAGTGGGGCTCAGTGCTGTCTTGGGTAGCACCATTAAGCCAGATCTTTCTATTCTTATTTGTGGCTTTTAGATATCATAGAAGTGACACGATGAAGCCTGATTTAGATTCCTTTGTGAAAACCACTTGCAGAGTATCAGTGTTTGGGCTTTTGAAAAGCCTTTTTCAGAATTTGCCACCCAAAGAAGGTACAAAAGGCTTTCTGGTTTCTCCCAAGATGTCGCCCATTAGATCAATGGACTTTTCAAATAACATGGAAAGTGAAGAAGCCCTTTCTTTTCTTCTCTAGGATTTTGTACACCAAATACATGACTTAATTTAAAAAATATGAATAAAAGTGTAAAGAATGGATAGATGGAGATTTTGTTTTTCTCTCAATTCTCCTATCAGACTCTGGAAGAAATGGGTCTGCCAACATTCGATTCCAAGAATTCTTAACTATAGGTCCCTAGGTAAGTCTGGGCACTGGCTAAAATGGCATGCCATATTTTGGGATATGTACATTCTTCTGGAGAGGGAACCCACAGCTTTCAAGAGATTCCCTAAGTCTGTGATCCAGAAAATATAATACCTGTTTTTGTTTGTTGGTTTTGTTTTGAGCGGAGTCTTGCTCTGTCACCCAGGCTGGAGTGCAATGGCCCCAGCTCACTGCAACCTCTGCCTCCCGGATTCAAGCCATTCTCCTGCCTCAGCCTCCTGAGTAGCTGGGATTACAGGCACACATCACTATGCTCAGCTAATTTTTGTATTTTTAGTAGAGATGGAGTTTCACCATGAAGAATACCTGTTTTAATGGCTATAGGATCCCAGAGACATAGAAAGAACTAGAAATATGTGGGAAGGTCCCATCCGTGGCCTGATGATGGAGCCGGCTTTCATCTCCACCCTTCCTATCTGTTCAAGGGCTGACTCAAACACCTCCTCCCCTATGAAGCTTTCTCTGATCAGCTCACCTCCTCTCAGCCAGAAGCCATCTATTCTCTGAGCTTCCAGAGTCTTTGCTTGCTCTTCTCTTAAGACACTTACTGGCCCAATGTAGTGGCTAATGCATGTAATCCCAGCACTTTGGGAGGCCAAAGTGGGAGAATTGCTTGAGGCTAGGAATTCGAGACCAGCCTGGACAACACAGGGAGACTCCGTCTCTTGAAAATAGATAGATATAGATAGATAAGTAAGACACCACTTTCTATCACATGTGAATCTAGATATTGCCTCCATTCCCTGCCCCTGTACCATTATGGATTTGCTCTAAGTGGATAATGTAGAAATATCTGTTGACCGAGTGATGGTCCTTACAAGTTTGTTGGCAGCCATTCAGAACTGGCCAGAGATAAGAATGGTTGGTTCTTTTGCTTTTTTTTTTTTTTTGATGGAGTCTGTGTCAACAGGCTGGAGTGCCTCCTGGGTTCAAGTGATTCTCCTGCCTCAGCCTTCTGAGTAGCTGGGTCTACAGGCATGTGCCACCATGCCCAGCTAATTTTTGTATTTTTAGAGACAGGGGTTAACCATGTTGGCCAGGCTGGTCTCGAACTCCTAACCTCAAGCAATCCACCAGCCTCAGCCTCTCAAAATGCTGGGATTACAGGCGTGAGCCACCACACCCGGCCAGTTCTTTTGATTTTCAACAGAAAATGTAAGGCGTTGGGCATTGACTGGCATTTTACATGATGTGAGCTTCCCAGTGGGGAAGGTAGTCAGTCCTTCTGCAAGGACCCAATGCCTACTCAGTGAGAAACCGTAAGCAACCCTTGCTTCTCCTCAATCCAGCTCAACGGTGGAATTGTAAATAGCACTCTGCCCTGTCCCAGTTGTCTTATTTGGAAAATACTTAAAAAACTCCACCAACCTCCTGACTTCACCTTTTCTTTTGGGTAAATCTATTATTTTAAGGGAGGGTGGGAGTGGAGAGAGGGACTCAAGTATTCCTTGTTCCAGTGGAATTTGTCCCAACCTCCCACAGCATTGCCTCCAGCCCCTGTCTTGCATTCTTGGCTTTTGAAGAGGAGGGGCAACCCCCTTCTTATCTGGGATTGCCTGCTTAAACAAACTCAGTGGTGTGGAGGTATTGTCCTTTGGAAACTTGGCCTGGGACACTTTACCAAGTGTCTGCAAACATTTAGACATGGAAAACTACCCACTGTTAACCCAGAGCCCATTGTCTCTGCTCAGGGCTGCTCTTCCCTGAAAGTGGCTTGCGGTTGGGGGTGGAGGTGGTGAGAGTCAGCCCAAGGGAATCCCTCAGTTGGGGCTCTGGACTGGGGAATTGTGCTGCTGTTTGTTTAAACAACCTGAGTGTAATTGGATTGTTTGAGATGCCCAAGATGTTTGGGAAAGTGGGGGAAGGGAGGCAGCTTGCTGGGGGAGAGAGTCACCAGCAGGGACTTTGATGGGTGGTGGGCTGGGTGGTTGTCAGCCTCCAGATTGCAAAGCCCGTGGGAAGAATGGCCCTTCCGGCTTTGCTTGGGCACATCAGGACCTGGGTCAGTAGGCTGGACCATGTAGTCTGTAAAATCTTAAAGCTGGTACTCGAGGGGTGGATCAGGATATGAGGAATATTTAACTTAATTATCCCTTTTTAACCAGAGCAATCTAAGGATAGCAGAAATGTGCAGTTACACATTTGCTTGTTTTCTAGATCTTATTTTTTAAAATCCCACAAAAATAGTGGTAATATCCAACTCAGGTTTCACCAGTAAGAATGCAGGGTAGGAATTCTTTAGGAGTCGGTATATCATTCCTTGGGACAGAACAGGGGCTATCGGGGAGTATTTGACAGGCCTATAGAAAAAATAAGTCTGTGCTTTATTGTAGAGATCATACCCTTCCACATGACCTGGGGAAAAGGGCAAAGAGTGTTAAAAAATGAGAAGAATCTGGGAATAGTAGAAGGAATCTTTGCAATGCTGGGCCTGGCCAGCACCGCCCTGTGAGATCAGACCTCACGTGAACCATGTTCTCACGTCACCTGAGGCATGCAGGTAGACGCCACAAACCAAGTGTGAATACTTATTAGGGATGCTTACCAAGTAGGAAAGAATTAGAAAACGTAAGGGGCTCCTATTACATGGCAGGCCCCCAGGTATGTAAGTTTACTTAATCACTGCTGGAACCTGTGACATAGGTTAGCAGAAAAATAGACTGTGGCTCAGAGGGTGAAATGAACTTGCCCAGACCACAAAGAAGGGAATGATTCAATCTGGATTTGCATTAAAATCCTTCTGTTTTCAAAAGCCTTTCTCTCTTCAATACTCTGCACTCAAACTACTCCTTCCCCTGCAAAAAAAAAAAAAAAAATGAAAATGCAGAACTCATCACTGTGCTGGTTCAAAAACAAATAACCCTCTTTTGATATGCCAGTAGCAAATCACACATATAGGCCCTCAGTTAAATAAACAATCAATTAGGGAAAGGATAGAAATGTTAATATTGGTAAAACCCACTGATCTTCTGATTGTAAATATGTTTTAGATTATTTATTCGAGGATGGAATGCTTGTCATCTTCATTTCAAGATGGCTATCACTTTTGGAGTTTAGCCCTTAGTTAAAATAAAGTTATAGTCAAGTATCTTGTAATATTTAGTGGAACAATACCTGACAGGGTACATTTACCTTTTCAACTTTTTTTTTCCCACTCTGTGGCCCAGGCTGGAGTGCAGTGGCATGATCTTGGCTCACTGCAACTCTGCTTCCTGGGCTCAAGCAATTCTCCCACATCAGTCTCCCAAGTAGCTGGGAGGCAGGCGCAAGCCACCACGCTTAGGCGCAAGCCACCATGCCCAGCTAATTTTTGTGGTTTTTTTTTTTTCGTAGAGACAGGGTTTCACCATATTGCCCGGGCTGGTCTGAAACTCCTGAACTCAAGGGATCCGCTGACTCAGGCTCCCAAAGTGCTGGGATTACAGGTGTAAGCCACTGTGCCTGTTCAAAACTTTCACGCTTAACATGAGCATGTCTGTAACACAAAATAGCTTTGTAAAGGTGTTGTTTTTTGCTTTTTATTTTTATTTTTTTTTTAAGACAGAGTCATCCTTTGTCACTCAGTCTGGAGTGCAGTGGTGCAATCATAGCTCACTGCAGCCTCAAACTCCTGAGCTTAAGCAATCCTCCTGCCTCAGCCTCCTGAGTAGCTGGGACTACAGGTGCATGCCACCATGCCCAGCTCAATTTTTTTTTTTTTATTCACCTGGGTACAGTTGGGCTAAGGCTGAAATGGGCATTGGCCTTATTTTTTTTTTTAATTTATTTTCAATGTACTTGTTTTCACTGTGTTGCCCTTGCTCGTCTTAGCCTCAGGCGATCCTCCCACTTCAGCCTCCCAAAGGGGGATCATAAGTATGAATCACCATGCCCAGACAACTTTATAAAGTTTGGAAGATTCATAACAGGTCTGGTGCAGTGACTCATGCCTGTAATCCCAGCACTTTGGGAGGCTGAGGTAGGCAGATCACCTGAGGTTGGGAGTTCGAGACCAACCTGACCAACATGGAGAAATCCTGTCTACTAAAAATACAAAATTAGCTGGGTGTGGTGGTGCATGCCTGTAATCCCAGCTGCTTAGGAGGTTGAGGCAGGAGAATTGCTTGAACCTGGGAGAAGGAGGTTGCAGTGAGCCCAGATCATGCCATTGCACTCCACCCTGGGCAACAAGAGCAAAACTCTGTCAAAAACAAACAAACAAACAAACAAAGAAAAAAGGATTAATAACAGTATTTTGACAAATACTTTAGAATACTGTTTTCAGAGAAAAGGGCTTTCTATACTTCCCAAGCAGCTCAGTTTTGCACAAGCTCCAAGTGGTAGCTACTTCAACTGTGATGTAACAGACAGCACAGAACAATCGCTGTTTCCATGCCATTTGGCAACTCCATTCTCCTGGGCTCTGAGGGCTTCTTAAGATAAGAACCAAGGGGCTTTTCAAAATCACACCATGACCACAGTTGTTTTGTGGGAGCTGGTAGCTTCTTCTATCACTCTAGATCTTTGACACCAGAAGGCTGCCTGGCTCCAAATTCTTAAAAATTGAAGATGTCAGGTAAGTAAAGGGAATATTTACAATATGAAGGAAAAGAAGTACAGTGAGGCTGGTGGTGCAGCATTGGATGATCGGAGAGTGTCTTTTAATCCTTTGCAATTTGCAGAGGATGCAGCGGGTGAGTCCTGTGGACATCAGAGGGGCTTCGACGCTGTGGAGCTGCTGTTCAGGTGGACACTGCTGGCCTCGATCCCATCATGGAGACCACATGGATGCTGGGAATGCATCTCCCATTGGCCGAGCTGAGGATATGAGTGGGCCATGGGTGAGCCAAGGTTTCCATTTCTCTTCCCACCATGAGAATTTCATGCCAGTTAATTTTAAAGTAATTATTAATTTTGCATTTTGCTGTTCTCACTGAGGTATGCATGGATCGTTAAAGATTGGAAAGTCTGTTCTTTGATTAGTTGGAGGTTCCTTCCATCTCTTTAAGAATGCCACCTCCTCCTCCAGCCCCAATCCTGGCTTCCCAAATTTCGAACTCCCAACACTTGAAAGGCTTAAAACTTGTTAGGTTTGATGATGGCAATTTAAAATTAACAATTACCTAGGTAATGAGTGTTTTTTTCAGTAGGTTTGTTTAAAAGCGAAAACAATGTGGCTAGTCATAAAAGTTTGCTGGATGGCTCACATTTTCAGAGGAGGGACAGCACTTGTTGCAGAGATTGAGGTTTAGTGTGATGTGTATAAAGGTGTTTCATGGCTAAAGACCAAACAGAGACTAGTGTCTCCCACTTGGGAAGAATAATCACCATGATAATGGATTCACATTGTTACATAGAATAATCACAGGTTTAAATAAGACTTTGCCTGCTTTATAATTATCAGGATGTGAAAATATACTGAATCAAAGCTGGGCGCAGTGGCTCATGCCTATAATCCCAGCACTTTGGGAGGCCGAGGCGGGTGGATTACTTGAGCTCAGGAGTTCAAGACTAGCCTGGCCAACATGGTGAAACCCCATCTCTACTAAAAATATAAAAATTAGCCAGGTGTGGTATCGCACACCTGTAGTCCCAGCTACTCAGGAGGCTGAGGCAGGAGAATTGCTTGAACCCAGGAGGCAGAGGTTGCAGTGAGTGGAGATTAGGCTACTGCACTTCAGCCTAAAAAAAAGGTATAATCATAGGGTTAAATAAGGCCATATATTTATAAACTTATATGCTAAGCACACCGTAGAAGCTCAATAAATGAAGATCATTTGTATTCGTAGTAGTGGTAGAAGCAGTAATATTTCTCCTGGGAATAGCACAGGGGACAGTCTAAAGAGGCCACAGTGGGTACGTCACGATGTGCAAACAGTAGGAAGGAATGCCTGTGTTGGTACCATTTCCCAAACTGGCAACTAGGGCCAGGAAAGCTTTGATTGACAAAACTCCCTGAAGCCCCAAGGCAGGCTCTGGCAGGGAAGAGGTCATTGTGGCATCTTGGATAAAAACAGTGGGCTGGAAAGGAATGAGACCAAGGATTGAATCTTGGAGCTGTGGCTTACCAGCGCTGAAATTTGGATCCAATTTTTTGAGCTTAATGTCTTCGTTTGTAAACTGTAGATTAAAAATACCTAAATGACAGGGCCGTTGTGATGACAGATAGTGTTCTTATGTAAACGTGTCCCACTTGGATGGATATGCAAGAAATGTTTGTTTTCCAAATTGCATCTGACTTCTTACTGAATAATGAATCCTTGAAGGCACACAGTCCTCCGAGCTGGAGGCCAGGAGTAGCCTTTGAAATCGCCCAGGAAGGAGCAGGCCTGAGCAGGAGCAGTCTCCCTCCCAGCCGGACTCAGAACTTTCACCAAGGCGGCCTTTGGGCCTTGTGCTTTGGGAGTAAGGAACCCCAGGCGCACATCTTTTCTGGCCCAGCCCTTTCTTGGGCTCATTGTTCTGGGAGGCCTTGTACTATTTGTTCATCTAATCTGTTAGCAAAAAGGCAAACTGAATATCCTTCATTTGGACCTCTGGCTCATATCCCGCAAAGGTCAGAAGTGTCTTACCCCGGGTGGCTGGTGGCGCCCCTGTCCTTGTTCCTGTTTGGCCTCTCTGAAAGGCCCTGGGCAGAGAGCTGTGACAGGCACCTGGGAAAGGGCCTGGTGTCTCTGCCTCTCCAGGTCTGTTTGGACTTGATTCCTGTTCTCTGATGCCAGGAGGGACCCAGAAAAGCCCTGGGACAATACATAACGGGCCCAAGTTACAGATGGAAGAACCTAAAGTTTAAACAGGGGTGTCCCTGCCTATTTTGTACCTATTACGCAGTGAAGCCAGGATCCAGAGCCACTTTGCCTGACTGTAATGGCCCGTCTACTACTTACTCCCTGGCCTGCTGTCTGCCTCAAGTCACTCCCCAACTGTGTGATGGCCATGCTCCCTGGCCTGGCTTGCAAGAACCCCCCGGTCATCAACTCTCCACTAAGCAGGCTGCCCACCCAGATTTCTTTGCCCTGTCTCATGGGCAGGGATCCCTCCCACCTCTGCTCCATCCTGAGAATACCTGGTTCATTCCCACAGCTCTTGGGGATCTGTCTGGGTGGCCCATGACATCCACCTGGAACGCCATTATCTCCAAATCCCATTCTCCCTTCTAGTCCCAGCTGAAGTCCTGCCTCCTCATGGTACCTTCCTGCCCACCCGGCTCCCGGGAACACCTCCTCAGCCTTCTATGGCATCCACTCTCCCCTCGAAGGAGAGCTGCCCAGCAAGGCTCTTTTGTGTGTTTCCTGCTTTGTCATGTGTGTTTTTTTGTTTGTGTCTTCCTGTCTTCCTTCCCACCCTACACACCTCTTCCAACTGGATTACAGGGCCCTAAAAAGGCAGCCAGGGTTGGACTGGCTCGTGGCTGCCTCAGAGGAGATTTCCCCGCCGTGGAGAGGCAAGGCTGCATCCCCCCTTTGCTGACTTAACAACATCCTGTTTCTACTTCATGAGATACAGTGACTCACCACCAATGGTTGCTGTTATTCACCCCTTGCTTTCATAATTCAGACTAATTAGGAAACCCGCATCTGTCAGGTTCTCTATGGGACTGGATTGCTAGAGGCAAAAAAGTGCTAGAGTCAATAAGTTTAATCAGTAACAGAAGTAAAGTACGGAGTCCCAAGGAAAACCTTTAGGAAAGGGCTTCATGAGGCTGCTCCTAAGGACGGGAAGAGGTCCTAGACATTCTTTCTCCATCTACAGATTGAATGTTTATTAAGTTCTGACGACATGTGGGACTGAAAGTTTCTCTAGGCATTTATGAGGGTCATGCTGTTAAAATGAGATAAAGAATGAAATATGTTTGCTATCATTAAACAGATGTATACATACCCGGGTGTGTGTGTACGTGTGTATTACTCTTTTTTTTCTTTTCTTTTTTGTTGTATGGAGTCAGAAAGATCTAGCTGGGTTCAGATCCCAGCTTTGCTACTCCCTGGCTCTGGGACCTTGGATACATCTCTTAACCTCTCTTGCCCATTGATCATTTATAGAATGTGAGCAATATTCCTTCCTTGAAGGGGTGTTGAGAGCTATAATTGAGATGAGGGTATGGTCTGGGACCAGCAGCATCAAGGGAGCTGTCAAAATGCAGAACCTCAGGCCCCGCCCCAGAGCAACCCAAGCAGAATCTTCATTTAATGAGATCCCTCAGTAATCTGTATGTATGTTAATGTTTAAAATTCCTTTCCTCAAGGAACAAATAATCAGCGTATGGATCTATATGGAGAGGATAATAGCAGCAGCTTACGTTTGTAGAGTTCTTCAGCCTTTCTGAAGTGATAACTTTGGACTCCAAGTGAGGAGTGTTGCTGGTTGGATTTGGGTTTTGATAATGTGGACAGAAATAGCCATGAGGACTTGGTGGCAGATAGAATGTGCCTCGGGTCTGGGTGTAGGCATGGCACGGGGAGGAGGGGAGGCTGCGGATGCTGTTGGTAGAAGGGAGAAATTAGGAAGGCTGGGAGTATGTAGGAAGGAGATGGTGTGCTGGAGATGGAGGAACAGTTCTTTGAAGGCTTTGGGAGCATAGAGACAAGAGACACAGAAAGGTATCATCCTATTTACATAGAATTTGCTAGAGCAAAGTCTTTTTTAAAAGTCACAATAGCTTTCTTTATACATTAGACTCAATCCACATAGAACATATTCACATATATGGTAGATGGTAACAAAGCAAAACTATTATCAATTCAAAATAATAGATGATGATGCTGGGTGGGGATCTTAGAGATCACATTGGTCTAATCCTTTCGGCCCCTGAGGCTCAGCTAGTTTATGGACTTCTCTCATCTGCCATTTCCAGTGTGACCTCCTCTCACTAAACTTTTTTTCTTGGCTGTGAAATGGGACAATAAATAACTGTGTTTACAGGTTGCAAGGTAGATTCAATGAGAGAATTCATGGAAAGCATTTAGCATAATGCCTGACTCTAATTAAGTAATAACACATAATATTATCAAATTGCTAGTGACCCATAGAAGGTAGAGAGGGAAAATTTTTTATCAAGACTGCTACAATTATTAGTAAAGATTATAGCAGTAAATTTGAGATTCGAGGAGCTAAACCAATTTTTTGTTGCTCCCCATCTGAATGATGATACCATAATAGCAAAACCAACAATAACCACAACAATAATTACAGTATGATAAATACTAACCGTAGCTAACATTACTTGGATGCTTATTATTAAGTTGGTGCAAAAGCCATTGTGGTTTTTGCCATTAAAATTAATTGCAAAAACCACAATGGCTTTTGCACCAACCTAATGTATTATGCCAAGCACTAAATAAAGCACTTCACTTGGACTATCTCATTTGATTCTTCAAACGTATATGATATGTATAATACTGCTGGTTTACAGATGAAGCAACTGAGGCCTGGTGAGATTAGGTATTGGGCCCAAGGCCTAGAGCTTGTACATGGAACTTAAATTGGAATCCAGACTCCCTGGCCCTTATAAATTGCTCTCTCTCCTTTTTTTTTTTTTTTTTGAGACTGCTCTGTCGCCAGGCTGGCATGCAGTGGCATGGCCTTGGCTCACTGCAACCTCCGCCTCCCGGGTTTAAGCTATTCCCTGCCTCAGCCTCCCCAGTAGCTGAGATTACAGGTGCAATCACCACACCTGGCTAATTTTTGTATTTTTAGTGGAGACGGGGGTTTCACCATGTTGGCCAAGATGGTCTCGATCTCCTGACCTGGTGATCTGCCTGCCTTGGCCTCCCAAAGTGCTGGGATTACAGGCATGTGCCACTGGGCCTGGCCTAAATTGCTATCTTAACCACTACACTAG